CTTGAGAAAGCACGTGCTTCTGTTACAGAAGACCCAAGAAAAACCAAGAGATGCTTGAAAGAAATGGAGGGACACTGTTTAATTACGCCAGCGGACTCAGGGAATAGGTTTCCAAATCTGGGGCTGTGTTTTCAATGCTCTTTGAGTCAGAGGAGACTTACACCTCACAGTGGGGTCACTGAGTCTCACTGTAGGTTGATCCAGTTGGGAGCTGAGCCTGTCCCTGTAACTATGGGCAGAGTGGAATAGGGAAAGCCCATTCTTGCAGGAGTCTCATGACAGGATGGATATGCCCTGGGAGAGACTGAGAGGCACATGACCACGAATCCCTAGACAGGAGAAGGGTCCTGGGAGCCCCCCTCCCATGCTGTGTTGGCCATTTCCACCTTCAGGCATTTTCTGCATCAAAGGCTGAGCCAGTCTGAGCCCATGAGGAGTTTCTGGTTGCACTTCCCTGTAGGTTTACATCACTGTGTCAATAGTAACTACTACTACCACCTGTGTGCAGAGCACAGTAATAGTTGTCCTCGTCCTCGGGCTGGGCCCCCGAGATGGTGAGGGCGGCTTTGTTCCCAGAGATGGAGCCAGAGAAGCGATCAGGGACCCCAGAGGGGCGGCTGTTTGTGTTGTAGATGAGCGTGCGGGGAGGCTTGCCTGGGGTCTGCTGGTACCAGCTGGGGTAGTTACTACTAGAGACGGCCCCAGAGCTGAGGCCACAGGTGAGTGTGACTGTCCCTCCTGGAGATATTGACACTAACGGCTCCTGGGTCACCACAGTCTGAGAATCCACCCCTGAAACCAACAGGAGAGAGACAGGTGTAATGATTGACAAAGGTCACCCTGAGACCCTGCTGTTCTGGGTCCCCCAAGGATGCAGAGGCCCTTCCTCTGACCTGAGCTGTGCGCCAGGAGCTGGAGCAGAAGCACCGTCCAGACCATGGTGGGGACACTCACAGGATGTGGCTCCTCAGGCTCCTGGGCTGCAGTGGGGAGTCCTGGGCCTTTTCATGCCTCCCTCACCTATTAGGGGAGAAGGGCCTCATGCAAATCAGCTTCCCCTCTAGTCCTGCCCCAGGGGCACCCTGCTGTCCCCTGGGGGATCTTCAAAGAGGCAGATGCTGGGCCCCCACACAGACCAATAGACTCCACAGTAACTGAGGCCTGAGAGAGGGGGTTGATTCTGTCAACAAGTCAGTGCCCTGGTGTCCTGGTGTCCTGAGTCCTCTCTTCCTTCCCTGGAGGGTGTGAGGCTGAAGGATGAGGAGGGAGTGTCCGCCCCCTCCTGGCCCCAGCAATCTAGTTCTTCTCAAAACTGACCCCATTTTGAGGATCGCTGCTTCCTTCCTCAGGAAACCCCTCCTTGTCTTTGGAGGATCTTAGCAGTCAGTCCTTCCTCCAGCAGTGTCTCTTCTCTCCAACCATGTTCATACCTGAACCAGGAAAAACGATCCGGGGACCAGGGTTGAGGCTCGTAACGCAGACAGCTGCACTGCCAGGCAGGGGTGGCCGCCCTCTTTTCCCTAGGAAGCCACCAGTGATATGATCGACCTTCCAATTACATAGGGTTTGAGGAGAAAATGTCACAGTGTCACCATGATATTGTGAGAAACCTATTAACATCTGACAAAACAAAATAGGAGCATGTGTGTCATGATCAGAAATGAGATCAACACTGAGTGTGAGCGAGTCGGTGTGAACATCCCAGAACAGTTTCCAGTCCCTTTCCCTGAGGGGCAGGGAGAATGGGAGGGATGGAGAAATGTAAGGGGATGAGCAGGGACCACATGTGTCCAGTCGTTGGGGAAGGTGATGCACACACTGGCGTCCATCAGAGGGAAATGACACTGTGGTTGACGGTGTTTATGTTGGAATCACTGTCCAATCATCTACGCATTGAACTGGCACGGTCAATTCAATTTTCTCATATGTCATGTTTCTTCAAGTAAAATATTTTTTGTGGTGTGATTGCTTCTCTTTCTTTGCCTGTGAATGAGGCCTGGACAACAACTCCTGAGGGAGGGGTGGGATAGGAGACAAGTGTGGGTGTCAGAGCTGAGGGCTCATGTGGCTCCTGGGCCCCAGGTGCAGGGAAGTCACACTTGAGTGAGGACCTGCCTGCCCAAGTGTGCAGGGGCCAGTGGAGTGTGTTCCCAGCTGCCTGGCCCAGAGCCCTGAGCTCTCAGTCCCAGTGCACCAGCGCCCCCCGTGACGTCCTGTAGAAATTACGCATGGTGCTTGCAACTCTGCAGCAGGAAGGGTAATAACCCTTTTTCCTTTCAACAATCAAGAGCTCTGTGATCTTCCTGAGGCCACTCCCCAGGCAGGAGAATGAGCAGGTGCCATCTCTGCTGCTGGGGTTGACCCGTTGTTTCCTCAGGCTCCTCGGGACCCGCACAAAAGTGAATGACACGCTACGGTCCCAGACCTTAAAGGAACCTGCTTGTTGGCTTTCCCTCTGTCTGCCTGGCCGCTGGGTTCATTTCTGGTGCATGAGCATTTGGAGCAAAGTGTGAGGCTTACTGTTCACATGAAAGCCCGTCAGTTCCTACCTGGTCTTGATTCCCCTTGGTGATCCTTTAGGGTGACATATGTGGTTGTTGTCTTTGTTGTTGTCTCTGTGGCTGTTGTGAGGGGCTCCTGTCAGAGTCCCAGCCCCCAGGGGACTTGTCTTGGCTTTTTCCCTCTGCCTTCGCCAGGAGAATATGACAATGTCGGGGAACAAGTGTCTTCTGTTCTTTGGTGACTTCTGCAGGTTCTCATTTACTCTGGAACGGTACACTGGCCATACCTGCTTTCGGCTCTTGAGCTATTTCAGATGTGATTCTCTAGTTTTGTGATTACTTTCAGACACGGTTTGACATCAAAGTGTGTTCATATGCATGAAACTCTTCCCCGCTGTGGAGTTCTCTTCTGCCTCATGGGATGTAGAAGTCCTCACTTTCTGTTCTCCAATCTTTTTGGCCTTAAGTATATGTGTGAGGATATCCATGGATGGAATGGGAATTGGGTTTCTAGGTTTAGGGCCAAATCAGCTAACCCTGATCACACATCATCCCAACAACAGCAGAACGCAGAGAGGAAAGAGGGAGAGGCCTCGGGACCACCTGGAGGAAGTGCGCCTCCTCTGAGAGCCGTGTCCTTCCTGAGGAGGCGCCCGGAGCCTGGAGATCACACGCTCCTCACAGTGTGATTTCCGGAAGAAACACCCAGCTTCCTCAGGTGTCAGGGGTCAGAGAATGAACATCCAGGCCAAGGCAGGGAGCAGGGGACACACAGGGCCTGGGAGAGGTCACCTCAGTCTCCTAGGCCACATAAGCTGGACCTCTGCTTTTATAAAACCTTTTTATTTTTCAACTTTAGTTTACATTTAATATTATGCTGTATCGGTTTCACGTGCACTGCATGGCGGGTGCACAATCCTGTGCTTTACAAAGTGTCCCTGGTGCCTGGGCCCCCGGGCACCGCACAGGGCTGTCACAAGGCTATTGTCTGGCTTCCCTGTGCTGTGCGTTCACTTTCCCGTCACTGTTTGGGAAGCAGCACTTAGTGCTTTATCCCTCCGACCTTTTCACTCCGTCTCCTGTCCCCCGCCCTCTGGAAACCATCAGTTTGGACTCAAGTTACTTTGTCTGTTTATTGTGTCCTTGACATTCCTCATTTGAGTGAAATGTTATGGTGTTTGTGTTTCTCTGTCTGACCTACTTTACTCAGAACCATCCCCTCTAGGTCCCTCAGGGCACCTGGGAGCTTCCACAGCGCGGCCATTGTCAGTGACGCTGCAGGGAGCACAGGGAGGTGCAGTTCTTCACGTCAGCGTTTGGGTTTCTTCACATAAATACCGGATGTGGCATCGCTGGGTAATGAGGCAGGTTGGCCTGTAGTTTTTTAAGGCCCCTCCGTACAGCTTTCTAGAGTGACCGCACCATCTGCACTCCCACCGACAGTGCATGAGGGTTCACTCTTCTTCACATCTTTGCCAACGCTTGTTGTTTGTGGATGTGATGACAGCCATTCTGAGGATGTGAGGTGGCATTGCATTGTGGGTTTAATTTACATTGATGTGATGGTCAGTGATGTTGAGTATCTTTTCCTTTGTGTGTTGGCCTCTGTGTGTTCTGTTTGGAGAAGTCTGTTCAGGTTCTCTGCCCATGTTTTAATTGGATTGTTTTGTGGGTTTGCTTTCTCTTCTTGGTGTGGAGTTGTGTGAGCTCTTTATAAATGTGGGACATGGACCCCTTCATGGGATGATCCTTGGTGAATACCCACTTCCATTACATCACTGGAGACTGTCTTTTTGTTTTGTTGATGGTTTCCTTCGCTGTCCAAAAACGCTTTACTGATATGTAGTCCCTTTGGTTTATTTTTCTTTTGCTTTCCGAGTCTGAGAGGATGTATTAGAGAAAATGTTGGTAAGATTAATGTCAAAAATTTAATGACTACATTCTTTTCTGGTTTTATGGTTTTGAGTCTTACGTTTCAGTCTTTAATCCATTTTGAGTTGATTCTTTGATGTGGAGGAAGGAAGGTAGCAATAGGAGGAGAGGTGTTTCTCCATAATTCATGTTGAACCTCCTCCTGGAGAGCTTGTGGGCATCGAGTTTCTGGGACAGGAACAGAGTCCCTGGCTCAGTGGGTCTACCATGGGATACGCATTTCTAACACCCGAGGGAATACTCCATTTCAAGGCCAAAATAAGCATAGAGGTTGTCCCCACAGGGGATTCCTGACTGGGGTGTGTCGTCCATGCTCTTTGAGTCAGAGGATACTTACAGCCTCACAGTGGGGTCTCTGAGACTCACTGTAGGTTTATACAGCTGGGAGCTGAGCCCATCCCTGTAACTATGGGCGGAGAGGAAGAGGGAAAGCCCATTCTTTCAGGAATCATATGACGAGAGGGACCGGCATTGGGAGTGATGGAGGAGGCACATGACCAGGAATAACTAGAGAGGAGAATGGGGCCAGGGAGCGTCCTTCCCATGGTATGTTGGTCATTTCCACCTTCAGGAGTTTTCTGCATCAAAGGCTGAGCCAGTCTGAGCCCATGAGGAGGTTTTGGTTGCACTTCCCCGTGGGTTCACATCACCGTGCAAATAGTAACTGCTACTACCACCTATGTCCAGAGCACAGTAATAGTCAGCCTCGTCCTCGGGCTGGGCCCCCGAGATGGTGAGGGCGGCTTTGTTCCCAGAGATGGAGCCAGAGAAGCGATCAGGGACCCCAGAGGGGCGGCTGTTTGTGCTGTAGATGAGCATGCGAGGAGGCTTTCCTGGGGTCTGCTGGTACCAGCTGGGGTAGTTACTACTAGAGACGGCCCCAGAGCTGAGGCCACAGGTGAGTGTGACTGTCCCTCCCGGAGACACTGACATTGACGGCTCCTGGGTCACCACAGTCTGAGAATCCACCCCTGAAACCAACAGGAGAGAGACAGAGTGTTATTAGGGAGACAGGGTCACCCCATGATCCTGCTTTTATGTGTCCATCCGTCCACCCTGCCCCCAAGGGTGCAGAGTCCCTTCCTCTGACCTGAGCTGTGCGCCAGGAGCTGGAGCAGAAGCACCGTCCAGACCATGGTGGGGACACTCACAGGATGTGGCTCCTCAGGCCTCTGGGCTGCAGTGGGGAGTCCTGGGCCTTTTCATGCCTCCCTCACCCATTAGGGGAGAAGGGCCTCATGCAAATCAGCTTCCCCTCTAGTCCTGCCCCAGGGGCACCCTGCTGTGCCCTGGGGAAAGACTCAAAAGAGGCAGATGCCGGGACCTCACACAGTCCAGGTTGCATGGGGACTGAGATGCTGAGGGAGGGGGTTGATTCTGTCACCAAGTCAGTGCCCTGGTGTCCTGGTGACCTCAGTCCTAACTTCCTTCCCTGGAGGGTTTGAGGCTGAAAGATGAGGTGGGAGTCTCCACTGCCCCTCTGGCCACAGCAATGTAGTTCACCTCAAATCCAAACCACCCCTGGGAACACCGATCCTTCCTCAGTGAAACCCCTTTTTGACTTCATTGGAGGATCTTAGCAGTCACACTCCCTGCAGCGGTGAGACCAGGAGGAGGTCAGATCTCTGGTCTGGGCTGTGATGGAACTGGAGTCTCCCCGACTGAGTCCGGGACCCTGTCCCTTTCCCTTCTGCTGTGGGGCAGAAAGAATGGGAGGGTGAGCAAGGGATTAGGATGTACGGGGGGTGAGCAGTGCACGTGTCCCACACTGACATCCTTCCCGTCCCTCTAATGAAACAGCTTGTCCAGCGAGGGAGGAGGGGGAAGAGCAGAGGGATCGGGGTCCCCATGGGGAAGCCCCAGAGCTCTGCGGGCTCAGGACTCGTTGTTGGAACTGGGTCTCCCATCCCCAAGTGTCTGTGATCCTGGGTCCAAGGCACGCATAGGCCATGTTTCTTCATGCACATGTGTCCCGGGGGTGTGACTGTCCATCTGTCTCTGCCTGGACGTCAGGCGAGAACAACAACTCTAGGAAGGGAGAGGGGGGTGACTAAAAAAAAAAGGCGAGGGTGAGGCAGGGGGGGGGCTCAGGGGGCTCCTG